GTTGTGATTTTAAAATTTTAAACAAATTTCTTTTTTCTTATCATCAAAGCAGGAATATCAGTAACGGTTTTAGAAGATAGCACTCGACTAACTACATATGAACTTCGGCGACAATTTTTTCATTTTCCAGAGTTGTAAAGTAAATGTGATCATTTATTCACTTTTACATATGATACATGGAAGAATATATTATATATTATTTTAATTAATTAATAAATTTTAACCCCAGCATTGTAAGTTTTAAAGCTCTTGATAGCTTTCGAAAAAATATCAAAGTCGTTATTATTTTACGGTCTTGTACAAAACAATATTTTCGCTTTATACGGTCTTTGCGTGTACGGTCTCGGGATATACTTCATTGGATACACGATCTTTGCATACACGATATTTGCGCACATGACCTTTGCCTATACGATCTTCACATACACGATCTTTGCATATACGATATTGCATACGATCTTTGCACACATGATCTTTGCACGCAAATTTGTTTAAGCAGCTTTTGCTAACATTATTTATTAAGATTATCATACAGTTCTGCCAAAAACATAGAAATATATGTTTTTGGTTCTGCGCAAAATACAGCAATATCAAAGGGATATAACATAAAATAAAGGAATGTCTTGATTAATCAATTTTATTCTACTAAAAAAGTATTAAATTAAAAAAAAAATTACAAATTTTGTTCTTAATATCAATTATTTCGCATATCAAAATATATTTCAAGTCGAAAACTTAGGTTAGGTAATACCGGCGATTTAAAAGGATCCACTTAGACCTATTAGCCAATAATGTCACCATATAAAAGAAAAACTTAGAGATTTAAAACCACCTTGAACCTTTGGCAAAGCTTAAAATGCTATTTAATGGAACGTTGTGCAGTTGATTAAGATCCTGAAGAAAAACAAAGCAGATAAGAGGCACTTCATGGTCCTCTCCGCAACTGTAACAGGTATAATTGAGGCGGAGATTCAAACTTATAGCATTATTTCCTAATCTCCAATGACCTGTGAGTAAACCTACCACAAGACTGATATCTCCACAGGGTATCTAAATGAGAGTATTGAATTTCTTTTTAATGGCGCGTGGCCAATGTGCATTCATATGCCTACATATCATTGAGTCTTTCCATCTTTTATCAAAAAGATTAGCATAGAAAAAACTCAGTGACGGTTGGTATGATATCAACGATACGCCTAGATTGTTTAGCAGTTTCGAGTAAGTTCCTGAAGAACCACTCGTATTTAGCTCCTCTGCTTTGCAATTACCGAAATCGAAAACAACTATTCATTAATTTAAGCTCATTACGTAATTTAAAATAATATTCTAAAAGTTTGATAAAAATAAATTTTGAGGACTAACAATAAAAATACATTACCATTACCCAAAAGTTTTTCTTTAAACTCATTCACTATTCTGATCTTAACATATTCAATAATGTTAAGATCAGGACTCCAAGCAGATATAATAAAATTTCAATAATTTGTTATCGAAATCAAGCCAGTGTAATGCTACTCATACCAAATAGAGCATTGCGCTGTTGAAAACCTGACCGTCGCTAGAATTTTCTTTTCCGTGAAAGGTATTAATCAAGTCCACCACGGTACTGTACTTCTGTATGTAAGTAGTTCACACGATATCGTACAAATGGAAGACACTGAATAGTTTTACGACTATTTAAAAACATTTGGAAAGTACTTTTGCACTAAAAGACAACATTTTTTCTTACATGTGGATTTCAAACTACACTCAGAAAAATAATTTCGTTGAGTTAACAAGACTTTAACTAAATCTCAGATCAAAATATTTTTTCTTATCATGTTGTTTCAAACATACCACATTAGGGTGGCTCAGAAAAACTAAAATACGATTTTTAATGAGCGCACCCCCTAGGAATATGCCATTGACCAAAAAAATAATATTCCCAAAGTTTTGGATCAATAGGATTAAAAATGACGTTGCGCCACTCGAGCAAAGTTGGGTTTTCAGTACAAAAAACAGAAATTTTTCAATTCAAGGTCATTCTTTATCTTTGTTACTTATTTCAATAGTTATTAATATATACTCATTTCATAGATAATTAAAATATCTTTTTAATAAGATACTGATGAGCAAAATCGGTTAAAAACTATGCGCAAAACACAATAATTAGTTCAGCGACTGTGCTCTGTTTTCTATTTCATACCTTTTAGCTGGCATGCACAATTACGTAAAACGTATATGCTACGATTTCGTTAATTATTTATAAAAAATTATAATATCAAGAAAACCCTTTTTTCAGTAATTAATATATTGTGTTTATTATGTTTTATAACATAAATCTGACTACGTGAAGGATAATTTTTATGATAATGTTCGACTACTTGCAGAACATATGTTATTGTTTTTCCTCTTCATATTTTGTCAAAATCGAATTATAATCCATCATAAGCCTAATTCCTCTTTCTATACAATCATTTATCATATGAAGTCTGGCACAGAATAACTGTATTAGTGGGTTCCCACTCTTTATCTAACCAGAGATAGCTAGGAGCTTGGATCTGTGACCGGTAACTCTACAGTTACTATCTACGCAGATGGCTCAAAGATGGAAGGAGGTACGGGAGCAGATATCTTCTCGAAAGATATGCAGATAAGACAGTGCTACCGAATCCCTGCTACTTACAGCGTCTTTCACGGCGAGATATATGCTATTGAAAAAGAGGTCAACATTAGACAACAAAGTACAATTCGTCCTTCGAATATCATGATTTGAATTGAATTGAATCTAAATCATCAAATATCATAAGGTCTCTCTTTGCTGGACATAGTACATTTCGAATACTTGGACATAGCAATATTGAAGGGAATGAACTAGCAGATGAGATGGCCAGAAGAGGTTCTGAACTGCATACAGGAGGGGCAGACCTCTAAATACATACACCGATATGTAAACTGTTTAGGATAATAGAGGAAATCAATACGGTGACTATCAATTTATAAACTAACCGCGAAGACTGTAAGGTCGCTAGAATCTTTTGACCTAAGTTGCTCCAACAAGTGGATTATGGAGAAGTTGCTAAGATGAAGAGGAGGTAAAATCTATCAACCACTTCCTGTGTCTCTGTCCAGGACTTCAAACAAGGCTACTTTAATGTCTTGGGATCGTTATTTTACTGGCTTGGAAGAGATAACGACAGCTAACTTATCGGATCTCCTCAACTTCATCTGGAAAACCAAATGGTTTAACAAGGATAACAAAGGTTAGCAACTCGCATCTCCTGGTAAAATTTTTTGAGGGCATCCCAATGGGCAATATATGTCTCCGAGTATAAGTGGTGACAACTGTTAGCACGTGCCTTCCGAACATAACCTTACCTAGTGTGGGTTAAAATTTTCGCATATATGCTCACCATAAAAATGTATATATTTCGTACAAACCATCCGAGTTATATGTAAATTAGTCTCTTAAAATATACATTTTTAGTAAGTACATGATTTTCGCCATCCATCGAGAATCTTGGATGGCACCTGGGCGCCACAGATAACCATTCCTACTACTACAAAATATGTATAGCGTAGCGATCCGAAACCTTGCATTTGTCAAGGGCGGAAACTAAACTTGGAGTGATAAATTGAATCGTTCTGTCTGCGTTATCCCAATTTTGTTGAACTGTTTACAGATTCAGCTTCCATTTTGGGGCAATTTCTTCATCGAATTTATTCCAATTAAAATCAATGGAATTTTTAGTCGCTCTTGCTTCGTTTGCTAAAAGGATATTAACTTCAGTCATACTCCCTGTACGACCATTTTCTCTTTGCTTACGTAAAAATTCTTGTTTTGACTACTTTTTCAATTCTACTTAAATATTTATATAAATTATTAAGTAGAAATGTATTATTTTTATTTTTTATTTATGTTTCTTCCGTTTCTTGTAAACATTTGCTATAGCATTGTGCATGCCAGCTAAAAGGTATGAAATAGAAAACAGAGCACAGTCGCTCAACTAATTATTGTATTTTGCGCATAATTTTTAACCGATTTTGCTCATCAGTATCTTATTAAAAAGATATTTCAATTATCTATCAAATGAGTATATATTAGTAACTATTGAAACAAGTAACAAAGATAAAAAATGACCTTGAATTGAAAAATTTCTGTTTTTTGTACTGAAAACCCAACTTTGCTCGAGTGGCGCAACGTCATTTTTAATCCTATTGATCCAAAACTTTGGGAATATCATTTTTTTGGTCAATGGCATATTCCTAGGGGGTGCGCTCATTCAAAACTTCATTTTAAATTTTCCCCCTTATAACGTGAGCCACCCTAATACCACATATTGGTTTTTATCTTCTTTTTTACCACGTCAGTTAAAATTTTTATAATAAAATAATCAGGTCTATTTAACTAGTATGTGCTAAGAACATATTTTTCTGAGTGTTATACCACTGTAGAGGTTTCATGGTGACATTTCAGTTTCTCAGTCACATCTGACAAAGGAACCTGCGAACACATCCTGTATATATCATTAATCGATTTTTCGATTTAGCAAATCATCCAGATTACTACTGTTTGCAGACAGATTTAGTTTAAAAAGCGTATACAATGACGTCTTACCTTCACTGTAACTGTTTTTGGTGAATCAGTTTGATGATATCGCATTGTGGACTGAGTTTATATATAAATTTTTCATATTACAGATTGAATTCTAAATATACGAAACACCATTTTCATGCCTGTAATATTTACATCCAAAATTTATTGATATATATATTAAACTTTTATTGATATCACATAGTAATTATGTTTTCGATTACATTTAATTTTAAATATTAAGTAGCATAGTTATAAATGGTACATTTGAAAATAATTTAAGAAAATGTTTTTGTACAATAAATAGTAAAACTAAAACTAAAAACGTAACTTAAATAAATAAAAAATATTTTTAAATTATTTTATTAATATATATTTATATATAAAGATATAAAAGATTTCTGTAACATATAAAAATTATTTTTTGGGATATTCCCTTGACAGTTTGGCCTGCCATCCTGTTGCGGGTGGGTGTGATTCCTGTAATGAAATAAAGTAAATAATTAAAATCAAAAGAACAATTAATCTTAAAATAATTATTTATTATATTATAATTTAAAAATATTGTTTTAAGTTTTGATTATCTATAAAATATCTTTGCTCGCTTTCAATAAAATGTGGATCAATATCCTTGATAGTTCTCTCTAGGTAAAACTGAAATGAACTTTGGTCTTCTTGCAATAGTACCATTCCACAAGTTCTTAAGTTCTCAAGTATGAACTACAAATTCAACATAGAATAGTTAATTATATATACTATAAATTTTAAAGAAGATATATGTTTAAAAAAGAAAAAGAACGGTTTGGCAATCCGACAATCCGTAATAAAACGAAACAGCTGTGTGGTCAATCAAAAATTCAATTAATTAATATATAGTAAAATTGTGTTGTTGTTATTTCCTACTGTTCAATATGACTAGTATGTTTGACGAGGCCCTATGCTTCAATGGGAGATGAAAATAACAAAAGAAGAAGAAGTATGTTTGACAAATAAATCCACAAAAAGAAAACTAGAAACTATAATACTTAAAATTCTATTTCATAAACTTTATTTTAGTTGTGTTGTTTAATAATATATATACGTGTATATATATAATTTGTTGACTTACATAAAATCGTACGAAGTTACGTAGACATAAACTGCGGTGAGTTCATGGCGTAAGCTTAATGAACTTCCTTCAGGATACACTTACAACAGGACGGCACTTTGAACTGATCTGTTACAACAGTGCCATTTGGAGTGATGGCTACCAGTGCACGATAGATATGATTTTGCTTACAGGTTGCCTTCACACCATTCGGTAGCGAATCGGAATACTTGCATTTGCTACCTTCATTCCTAAAATCAAAAGTACTGGTTATATTTGCCTATGTATGTTCTGACTATAAAAAATACTTACGAACATAGCTCCACACGTAGTCCCTGCTTAAATTTGTCATTATCATTTACTATGAACAATAATTCGTTATTTTTTGAGAGTTGCGCTTTTGGAAATATAATTTTCTCTTCACTAGTACAGAAGAAACTCTCATCTGGACCGATATTTATACGTTGTTGTACATTTTGAGGTTGCACAAGTTCATCCGAAAAGAAAAATTGAAGTTTAGAAAATTCGTCCAATAATTTTGATTCGAAATTACTCAAATCAGGATAATTGCGAACTTCCGTACAAAATGGCTTAGCAGCATGTAAGTCATCCTTACATGTAGGTGTATCGCTACTGGGTGGATCTTTGAAGATTATTGCTGCAATTGTTAAGCATACATGAACATATGTTAGGTTAGTAAATAAAACTGTGCTTACGTCCTTGCTGACTTCGAGGTGGATGAGCCAGAATAGGTTCCTGTGAATGTAAAGTATTATTAAAAACCAAATCTAATTTACCATCAGATGTTCTTTGCACCTTGAATGACGGTATTTGCTGAGTTGATCTCTCAACAAAAAGTGGATTAATGTGAGTGTCATGATTTCTCGGTGATTTATAGCCACTGAATGTTCTCTATAAATTTAAAAGCATTTAAGCGTATGATGAACAAATTAGTCAAATGTATTTTAGTAACCCTAGGCGATGGTTAAAAACTTACATTAAATATTATAATACCATTCGAGCTATTGTCTGTTACAAATATATTTGATATTAGAGTATCTACATTTGTTAGATTAGCATTATTAGATCTGTTTAATGCTTGTCGATTTGGAGATTGTAGTCGCTGTTGTTGCTGATGTGAAATGAAGCGATAATTGTCTGTTTCATCTTCCATAACATTATTTATGTTCTTAGTCTTATATTCATTGGGATTTATATAAGAAGATCTTATGTGCCGCGAAAGTAATAAGTCACTAGACCGACAAACTATCTGAAACAAACACACACAAAAACGATATACACATAAAAAGCATGTTACCAAAAAAAATAATGAAAAGTTTTAAATTTATTTGACAAGAACTCCCTGGTCTGTAGTGGTGTGAAGAAATCGCTGGAATATACAACTCGATGAGATAAAAATTAAAAATATTTATTTTAGCTTTTATTGTCATCCATTATACGTCAGCACTTTGCATCCATAATTTATAAATTAAGACATTGTTAAGTATATGTACAATATAATTTATGCGGTACCGAGAAAAACCTCAAAGTCACAGATACTTAAAGTCCGCCATAAAATAATGTTTATAAGCAATTATAAATTGCATTTTTCTACACAATCAAGTAACGTATACGCCCCTTAATCCGCTCATTATAATCACAAGCATTGGGGTCTATTTATTTATTTGCCCTTAATTGAAGTCAAAAGAAGATAAAAATTTAATCAAAAGTATTTTATTTTGTGGTTACCGCTGAAAGGTTCTTGACACAAAGGAACAATTACATGTAGGGAAAATTATAAAATTAATTGTATGTTGGAGATAAAAAATATAATAGAAGTTTTTGCAAAAATAATAAATCTAATACATCCAAAACCAAACCACAAACTGCCCACTGAATTAAAAACAATAGAAGTAAAATGGGAATTCCATATCAGTCGAAAACGCTTCAATGAATTATATCACACATTATAAAAAATTTTACATTATATAAAATTTTAACTCAAATATGAAATCTTTATAAAAAGGTAGATTGTTTGAAGATAAATCTAAAGATATATAACACAGGGTAAGGACACTGGCTAAACAGCTATTATGGCAGAAGATTTCACTCCACTAATGACACTTTTTGACTCACGTCTTATCATATTTCGTTATACTGTCTTTTGTTAGAGACTTGTATCGTATCCGTGTGACCTCATATACAATACCACTCTGAATAGAAATAATTAATTCGTAAGGTAACTTTTCGATTTACAACCTATTTATTTGAATGCACCTTTATCATATCACAAGACACACACTTCACGTGAATATAGGTATAATGAGATTTTGGTATATTAATCATCAATTTGTTGTAAGACTTATCTACTTTAAACATATTAGACATTATTAAGTTAACATAAGAATGATTTTATTGTTGTTGTAGCCCGTCAGGGTTATGTAGTCCCTTTTGAGGGCTGGTGAACAGCACTTGGTTGTCAAAATTGACGACTGGTTCCGGGAAGAAGATCCGGCCGTTTTGTATAAAGAGTGAATGATACTGTACATTGCGTTGGGTAGCAATTATCTTCATGTGACAGTGGTGACATGAACATTGCCTTCCAATGATTTAAGAGTAGCAGGCTTGTAGGCTTAAACCAATGATTTAACATATCCAAATCATATTAAATTGCCAAACCTTACTGAACAGAACACAGTTTGACATTCTTAGCTGTCAAGCCACTGTTATTGATATCAATAGTTCTCATTTAACTAAAAATACACCCGATACTAGTACTGCAGATTAAACGAGAAACAGATGAATCAAACAGAGCCAACCAAACAGAAAAACAATAAAAAAAATCAATTGATTCAGTTATATTGAGAGAAAATATATAGCTTACATCATTGTTAGTTGTCAACTAGTACGTGCTATACCGCACCTAACAACCCTTGCAGTTTTTGAGGCTCCCCAGCGCATATTAGTGAAATCAGTTATAATTTAAATCGGTATTTAGTAAGGAACTAAATCACATGGCGAATCGTAGAACTTTCTATAAATTACCTATTAATTTTCAATTTAAAAAAACTAACATGCACAAATTTTTATTGATTCACAGTTAAACAGAGTTGTTAAAATTCTTGTACCAGTAGTAATAGATGTATTACTTCATTTTAAATTTTTATATTACGGAGAATTTTATTGATCAATACACCCATATATAGATTTATGGTATTATAGTTATGGCATTTTTACCATCTACCGTAAAAGATTTTACGTAAGTTTATTACATTAAAAAAAGTTAAAAACAAATATTTAACACTTTTACTTCATATAGGAGAATAATATGCTAATAATATACAAAAATAAAATTAAGTTTTTGTAGGTAATGACATATAATATATCTCTAATGTCAAAAAATGTGAAATATTGCAATCAATTCAAAAAAACAACACAAAAGACCTTTCAAACCTAATTGTCATGCATTGCATCAGCAGATAAACGTCAGATATTTCGTTTAAATGATTGATATGTGTACTCACCCAGCCGCGTGATTCTGTAGATGTTTCTGATTATTAAATTAAATGAACTACTTGCAGTGTGAACTATCTCCAAATATATTATTGAAAACACTATATATATACTTTTTCCAATCAGTATGGAATAAATTTCATACAAACTGGAAGTTTCACAGCAAACAGTCAAATTGAAACAAGAAAACACAATCTTAATGACCACAAGGTGATGTAAATTCCATGGTTTGGTTTGCCATTCTA